TTGATATCAGATGGTTGGAAGCATGAAGAACACGAATTCCATTAAGGTTGCAGATACGTCTTGTTGATTGTTGAGTGCCAACAAGTACGAAACCTAGATGGTTCAAGGCTTGGTGCCGATTGCCTACAACCATCTAATATCAACAACTAGAAAATGCACCGTGGTGACGTGCCACCTTGTGGCATGGTAGCCACATTGCAAACTTGACTGACGGAATTCAGTCTGCACCAAACAAGGGAGGACTAGACTTATCAGAACGTAATAGCATCATAATCATCTACCCGATCTAAAACACCTCTATTATTTTATAATACTGCTGTTGGCGGATGTTCATATGTCTCTTATTGAAAACCTGTTCTTTTGATATAATTGTTAAAGTTCCTTCTTATAGGAAGATATTTAGATGATATTATTTTGATATGCGATGATCATGAAGATGCGAATCGTCTACTTGATAGACTTAACTCCGTAAGTCTTACAAGCGAGGAAGAAAGCCTCAACCAGCTTGCATTTTTAGACATATTTCTGAGCAGGACATATGACGGTTCAATCAGGAGACCAATTTAGAGAAAGACTGCTTGGACAGGGTAATACTTAAACTGTCATAGCTTCTGTTCATTAGTGTATTAGAAAAGCTTAGTGAAGTGTTTGTTCAAGAGAACTTAGAGTATCTGTACAACTGGTGTCATAGACGATGAAAATAAAATACCGACTGATACACATGTTGAAAAGGGATATCCTTTAAAATTTTTAAACCGATGTAGAAGTCAGTTAGTTTTAAAACCTACAATCTATTCTGTCCCTAAGAAAGATGTTTTCATTAAATAATCATACAATAGGGAAGCAAATATTAGGATTTCAAGACAGAGATTAAACTCGGTTAGCCACAGGACCAGTTATGCAGCCCGGCTTATAATAATTGAAAAAGCCAGAAATATGCTCCACTGCAAACCTCAAGAGTACACGAGTGATTATGTCACATCCTACATTATATACCAATTTAAGGGTGTGTGTGGACACATATACATAAGGAGCAGTAATCCCGCTTTGCATGTGAAGGTGAGAAAGAAACTTGGAAAATCGATAGACGCAGGTGGCAGACTACCAACTTTGTCTATAGCTCGACATCTGATTGATATAAACCACCACAAGATTGATGTCAAAACAACTCTTAAGGTTATTTTTAAAAACCAGTGAAGGGTGCTTACTGAAATACCCAGTCCCCCTACCTTTGTGTGTACAAAAGCAATTTGTTATCACCCTTTAGCCTACCTTGATAATCCTTATCTGGTTAGATAACCAGACGTAGTGTTAATTACTCTTATTATTCTTAAATCCTTTTTGTCACACTTTGTGTATTTTAATTGGTCTTTATTTTTTATATAAATTGACTTGAGTAGTAAGTGTGTGTGTGAGTGTGATCGGATTGTTGTTCGAAATGTATTGAGCAAATACATCACACTACATTTTTTCCAGATAATCTCCGTCTTCTAATAACAACACTATTCCAATTTATTAAAGGAAGTGACTTTTTTAAACAATAATTATTATTATTTCCTTTAATTCCTAGAGGAAAATAGGGCTTCAGCTGCACGTCTCCATTGAGTTCGGTTCTCTGCCAACGTTTTCATCACCTGGCTCCACATCTGCTCACATGCTTTCATCTCCTCTTCAAATGACCTCCTCCATGTCACACTCGCAATCACGACCAAATCACCGCTTCCCTTTCGGGTTCCACTCGAGGGCTTGTCTAGTGATGGCACTTGATGGTTTGCTTTCTCAGAGTATGGCCAATCCATCTCCATTTCTTCCTGCTTATTTCTTGCACAGTCGATTCTTGCTGGGTTGGTTCGCTCCTGGAGACCCCTCCCCGTTTCTGATCTTTTCTGGCTATCTGATCTTGAGTACTGAGCGAAGAAAGCTGTTGATGAAGGTCTGTAGTTTGTTTGAGGTGCTCTTCATGACACCCTGGCCAAGTCTCTGATCTGTATAATAGCATTGACTTCATATTGGATTTGAAAATCCGGATCTTTGTTTTTCAAACTGAGTGATGCTGACCTCCAAACAGACTTGAGAGTAATGAAAGCTTGTCTTGCTTTCCCGATTCTTGCTTTGATATCGTCGTCAGCTCCGCCTGCAGTTGAAACGATGCTTCCCAGGTAGGTGAAGGAGGTTGTTTCTTTCAGGTTCCTCCAATTTATGCAGATTGTTGTCTGTTGTTGTTGATGGTGTTGGCCAGGAATCTTCATCACCTCTGTTTTCTCTATATCCACCTGAAGTCCTATCTTTGATGCTTCTTCTGCCAATTTGTTGCTTTTCACTTGCATATCTTCCAGTTTGTGGGAAGTCAGATATATATCATCGGCGAAGTCCAGATGCTCCAAGTTTTTTGTAATAAGGGTCCATTTTATGCCTGTTTCCTCACTGTCCGCCGTCTGTCACATTATCCAATCTACTGCAATCAGGAAAATCATTGGTGATAGTAGGTAGCCTTGTCTTACTCCCGTCTTCACTTCGAAGGATTACGTAAGTTTCCCGTTGTGAATTACTTGGCATGCAGCATTGTCGTACAGCTGTTGGATGAGATGTATAATTGTCGGTGGCACCCCGTAGTAGCGGAGTAGTTACCAAATCACCTCTCGATCGACGCTGCACTATCGAAGGCCTTTTCAAAGTCGATGGAGTTGAGATAGAGAGGTGACTGCCATTCCAAGCTCTGTTCAATGATGATCCGTAATGTGGCGATTTGATCAATGCATGACTTGTTTCTCCTGAATCCAGCCTGTTCCGGTTGAAGCTTTTGATCCAGATTGGCGTGTTTGATTCTCTCCAGGATGATGTGGCTTAGTATTTTGCTTGGGATGGACAGAAGCATAATTCCGCGCCAGTTCTTGCATTGACTTAAGTCTCCTTTCTTTTGCAGTTTGAATAAGTATCCTTTCTTCCAATCCTCGGGTACCTTGCCCTCTTTCCACACCTTCTCCAGTAGTGGTGTCATCAAGTCTGCTGATGTCTCTAGGTCCATTTTCAATGCTTCTGCTGGGATTGTTATTAGAAAAAGATGACGTGAACAGCACGAAGAAAATTTTCTTGACGACGATTCATTTTCATAAGCCACACAATCGTATTCATATGCAACGAAGAATTCATAAGACAACCAATCAGATACTGGTAAAATTTGTCCTGGAAAATGTATTACATAATGTAAGGCGTAATGTAAAAGGGGATGACTAATTGGAAATTAGAAATAAGGGTTAGATGTTGGGATGACGTAATAGGTGTGAGAAAATGACTAATCGATATAACTGTGTAGAATGGCCAAGAACTGGTGGAAAGACGATAAAGTGTTTTTATAAAATCTGTATGAAAACGCAATGTTATTAGTAAATAATCATGGAGTGATAATAAAATCAGGATAACAATAATAATAAAATTACACAATAAAATGGAGCAAAATTATAATAAGAACGTTACTTTGGTCACTTTAGGGCGAGTATATGTATGTAGTGCTTTTGAATGCAGAGGCATGGTTTCAGATCCCGAATAGCCAATGATTCAACTATGTATAGATGGTGTATTCGAAGTCCCTTTGTACACTATTGAGGAACTCTGTGTAGCATTGTGAAACAGTTTTGCAGGGATGCTGGTGTCCAGAGTTGACAAAGTGTTCATGGATAGAGCTGTTGTTATTCATTTTTTCTTCTCTAGCTAACCAGGTTGGACAGTATCCCAGAATACATTTGAGGACTTCACGTTGCATACGGCCGATATACTCTGATCCACACAAGGAAGCAAACTGATAAATACATATTGAGGTGGCCAAAAGCGGCATCTTATCCTTAACGTCCTCTCCGTCCTCCTTTATGGCTGTGAGACCTGACCATTGAGAGTAGAAGACATGAAAGGACTATCTGTCTTTGATCATAGGTGTCTGCGTTCTATCTCCCGTGTGAAGTGGTATAACAGGGTGAGTAATATTGAGGTTAGGTTCTCATCTAGGTAAGGAGGGGAAATCAATCGACGAGGCTGTAAAGCTACATCGACTGAGATGGTTAGGACATGTGTTACGTATGCCTAGTCATCGCCTTCCTCGACAACGGGCAATGTTAGCTGACATAGGGTCAGGTTGGAAAAGAGCCATTGGCGGTCAAACCAAAACATGGCTTCATCAGTCAATGAAATCCACAACAGTTAGTTTAAGCCAGCCAGCCACGTAGGAAGGTGTAGACTTCCTGGTTGGTGTCCTTGAAACGGTAAAAACTAATGACAGTGGCTGGAGACAATTGGTGATATGGATAAAAATCGTTCACAGTGGTGCAGTTGCATCCACTCCATGTGACTTATGATTTCCAGTTCGTCGTTATTCCTTCTGTGTCATATCCCTGTTTAATGTCTCTATTACGCACTTCTTATACTTTATTCTCTTGGTTTGTGTGCTACATGAAGTGAGTGTGGCGACTTGAACTGCCACACATTGGTGCAAAGTTCTATGTCGAAAACAGACAGACAGAACGTTGAACTGGATTAATTGTTTACGTAAGATACTTGCTCGAAATACCTTCTTCAGACATTTCGGAAGGCGATTTCTAAGTTGATTATACAGACTTTATGAAAACACTTCGTCGTCTTTCCCCTAGATTTTGTTTACTCTACACAATCATTTTAATTAGTCGTTTTCTCACACTTATTACGTCATACAAACTTCTGACACCTTTTTCTAATTTCCAGTTATTCATCCCCTTTCAGAACAACAGTTTTTTACCAGTATTTGATTGATCGTCTTATGAATTCTTCGTTAAATATGAATACGATTGTGTAGCTTATGAAAATGAATCGTTGAAAAGAAAATTTTCTTCGCGCTATTCACGTCGTCTTTTTCTTATGACTCCAAATGGGAATATTCAGTTCATTGAAGAAACTGTTATTAATTTTCCCAATTTTTAAATGTTGTTCTCAAACTGTCTCTTCTCTTCTCTTCCATTTTTTTTATTTGTCTACAGGGGCGTCATTACTTGTTGGCGGTCTTTATACCTACGATATATTCGCTGCAGTACCATGCTGTTCAAATCATTTAACTTGTGGTTCATGTCAATCACGTTTAGATGACTTAACTCTTCAGAATTCTTCATCACCAGTCCCACAACAACAGCAACAACAACAACCACAGCAGACATCAACGCTGAATACGGAAAGTCCACTAACCTTATCATCTAATTATCTACCTCCTCATCACCATCATCAAGATCAATCAGGGATCAATAAAATCAATGAAATGAAGGATAAATCATCCAATCATGATCTCACTATTAAATCTTTCCCATTAAGTTATTTTAGTCAATATAGTAACTTGATCATTTGTCCGTATTGTTCAAAAGTCGACTATCACTTCGTTAAATTATTTGAAGATACCTACGAAGTTGTAAGCTGTTGTTAGAGTGGAAGATACTGGAAATTCTTAGATTTTTATTGATTTATTGATTAACTTGACTTGATTGGACTTAATTTTTTTTCAAAGTTTTAGCATTTTTCATTCTTATTTTACGTAACAAAACAACATACAAAAACATCAGGGAAAAGAGATTAGTACTACTGAATTCCTTTTTAGTAGAAAACTTGATTTCACCCCAATCTATTTTCAATGTCTTTTGTTATTATTATTATTACTATTGTAGTCATTAATGTTGTTTTATTTTGTTCGCGAATATTAAGTATTTATCACAGGGAAAGTCCAGCCCCCTCCCCCTTCTCCCAGCAGATAAAACTTTGAAGGTTGGGTACCGACACTACCTTTCTCTTTACGTGTCTGATGCTCAGGTTATCTCGAAAACTCAGATGTTGTTCTGCTTTATTTAAGTATAAATTTTATTGCTATAGGTTTAATCTGTATGTCCTATTTCTTTATTTATGTTTTCAAACTACTTAATACCTATTTTAGTAGTATGTTTTTAATTTCATCAAAATGTATATTTTTGTACTGTAGTCTATTATTTTCAACTCACACAAAACTTCAGTTTCTGTGTATGTGTGTGACACAAAGCGCCAAATTGTACAAAGAATAATACAGTACTGTCTAATTGAAATCCTCTTTATCATTTATATAGAATATTATGTGGACTTCAACACCTAATGTCGTTGTTTTTGGTTTCATTTCTGCTTTTGTTTATTTCCTCGCTTAATAACTCACAGGGAAGTTTCTAGTTTTTTTCTTTTGCATATTGTGTTGTTTAAACTCTCCAAAAAATAATTTAAAAAATGATTTCTGTAATTTTGGATAAGAAAATATGATTTAATGGAGTCATATATTACTGTGTGTTAAGACTGACAGAGCACATACTTTTACTTCGAGTGGCTTTATTGCATATCCTCGGCAACTGTAGTGCTGTCGTCTGTTGCTATGGTGATTTAATGATAAGTTATACTGCTTTTGTATGCTTTTTAAATGAAATTGTACACCAAAAATTCTTTTCTGTGACGTACATATTGTCGGTGGCATCAAACTCTTGAACTGCGTTACATTTCCTGCACTTTTATCAGAAAATGTCACTTCATACTGATATCTGCTCAGTGTAATGCATGAAATAGAGGCAGTAAGCTCAAAAGTGAAACGAATATTACTCACTTTGTAATGCTGGTTGGTATATTTCAGCCTTTTTATTGAAACGCTTCAATACTTACTGGATAGTGAAGCAGGTGCCATGATATAACCATCCCGTTTCTTTCGTTATTTAATTTGAGTTGTTGTCATTTGGTGACTTCATTGATTATTTGCTTTAATGTACTTTCATTATTATTATTATTATTATTCTATTTTTTGTGGGTTTTAACACCTTAATTTATGTATCTTTTTTGAGAATTAGAGCTTTCACTGCTGTTTAAAAACGTGGACTCTGAAATCTCAGGGAGAATTTGTTTAAAAGTTGCTTATATTTTTATTATTTCATTGCATGTGTCTGCGTCTCTCTGTCTCTCTACATATGTCTGTCTGTCTACCTGTCTATCTATCTGTTTATCTGTCTATCTATCTATCTATCTCAGGTATTATTGGGATTTGTAATAGTTCACAATTATATTATTCATTAAATTAACTTGTTCTAACAATTTGTGCCTTTTTAAGAAAACAGTCTTGAAGGTGACTTCAGGTACAGGTGTGCTGTCTATGTTTACGTGAAAATGCAGAACGGCGGGGGGAGAATGTGAAGTCTCGAATGGATTTTAGTTGTTTAACAGGCTTTATGCTATTTTAGCAACTTAAGGTAGGTATGATGGTGTGTTCATGTGCGTATGAAATTCTCCACACTTGAAGAGTACTCATTCGGTGTACACTAGAGAACGGTTAGTGATTCAGAATAGATTACAAAGATTACATCGGCGAAAATACGAATTATGGTGACTCTAAGCTATAGCAGCCTAATGAATAGATAAATGACCCTGACAAAGACTCTATCTACCAATCAAATGCGTCTGAAGTAAAAGTGCGTAATTTGAAAACAAAAACTTTTATGTAAAATTAATAGAATGTTAAAAATAGTTACATAGGATAACGTTCTTGTGTATGTTCCAAGAAAAAACCTCCCACTTCCTCATAGAAGTCTGCATAGTTAGGTTGAACCAGTTTCTGGACATAAATTTGTCAATATAACTGTAAATCATTCTTTTTCTAGAACCGTTCACCACTGTGATCCTATTTTTGAGATGGCTCCAGAAATTAGCGATGGAATTGGTGTAAGTTCCATCGAAAGGATTGATGAAATCGTGCGTATGATTGACCACGTTATAAATATAACCCAGGGATGACTGTTGGCTCTAGCTAATCCATTGATCTGTGTGAATCGTTGTGCCAGGCATGGCTAAACTTCGGATAATAGGCAATAAAACATCGGCACTGAGATCAGGGATCGTCTCAATATATCCTTTCAGCAGGGTGGTGTCATATAATCCCAATACCACTGCTGATTGGAACTCAATCTACCTCGATTATATTTCCTTTTTATAAAAACTGTCTCATCCACATCAACAACGACATCAGCGTCACCAAGTATTGCGTCGACTGTTCATTCCCTATGAGGTTCTATCTCTGCAGTACTGGTACCATTGTACTGAAGACACTTCTGAAATCTCTGTTTCGAATCACGTCACTGTAACTGGTCTTTTCAGGGTCTAGTTGTGACACATCATCAACATAATTTTCGTTAAAGGCAACTTCGATTTAGCGAAGAATTACCTACAGCATCCATAAACTAAAAATGAACTGCATACCTTCTCGAACTGACTTTCTGCTTCGGCAGTCTTCGCACCTGTAGACAAATCCATTAGTGCAGAGGGTGTATCTTTGCAGATGAATAACACCTCCAAATCCACACGTTTTCTCCCTTCCTACTAATTAACTACTAGATCTCGATGTAATTTGCTAGGCAGCTGGTGTATAGCATCCATAATTCCGCCTGGATACCAAGGACTCATCTGATTGATTGTTCAAGGTCTTTTATCCGTTCATTAGGTAGTTTAGGTTTGAAGTGCTATAGTGTACACTCACCAGAATTATCTATTTCGACACTGATAATGTTGGACAGTGATATGTACTTAATTAACTAAGGATAGTGTAGGAATAAGTGGAAGGATGGTAACAACAGCATTTCAAATACCGTGGATGATTGACCATGTACCTTCACGCTAACCAGTCGACTTAAACAGTGGAGGTTAGCATCAAATGTTTATGGTGATCACTTAAAGCTCTAGACTAATAATTTAGGGAATTATTTACCGCCATACTATTTTATGCATAGGACAAATCGAATACCTTTGGAGTAATTCATCTTAAGTTTGTTCTACTTGCTACAGCGAAATATTAGGTATTACTACATTGATTGACCACTGCAGACTAATCAATTTCACGAGTCTACTCCTTTGTCTTAATATTGATTGAATTCAATGAGTGAAGCTTGTAGTAAGGTTACTCTGTTAGGTGACTCCCCATCACAGTGCTGTTTGAATTGATATTAGGCGGTTGTGTAATGATGGAAAACAGAGGAATCCAGTAATGGAATTATTTATTAGCGATTCGGTACACAGATAAAGGGCAAAATACATCTACCATATATCAGAATCACAATTCGCACATATCTTCAGTACTGTGCTACTTTGCCTTCCGTACTGTGGATCTTCATCTTCCTTTGACGTTTTACTTATCCATTAGATCCACCCCACCACTAATAGATATTTTGCTGCTGATGTACATATCTATATCTGCACCAACTAAATAGATTCAAGCGAAGCCGCTCCGACATTCTTGGTGCTACCTACCCACTCTTGTTTTGCCTTGTTGTCAGCTTGCTCATCCCACTGTATCCATCTCTGGATTTGGATGGCATTAACGCGTTTCTGTTTGTCCCCTCTTCTGATGGTGTAAATGGAAGCACATCTCTCGAAGGAGTTTCCGTGAACCTGGCCCTCATCCAACTGTACACTTTCTTTCTCTACACTTTACTCGATCGCCGACCTCAAGGGTTATGCATCCCATCTATTATCCCTGTTCTGATTTCATGGTGTCTTTCTTCTGTTTACGCTCTACACTTCTGACGGCTTCTTTTCGTTCCGTTCTCACTCACGTTATACTCGACTCTTGGTGAAGGAACCAGGTGGTTCTGTGTATTGGCAGTCATGGTTTCCTCCCATACATCAACTGAAATGGTGACTTCTTTGTTGTTTCCTGGGTGGAAGCATGATGTGCTAGTAGAATCAATAGAAGCTCTGTCTCCCAGTTACCTCCATTTGAGACCAGCCACTCCTTCATCGTACGGTTATTTCTCTCTGTCAGACCATTCGTTTGTGGATGATATGGTGTTGTTCTGATCCTCTTGATACCCAACTGTTGCAAACGGGAAGTGAATTCTTCACTTTCACAAAAAAAGACTCTGATCTGTCACTATCGTCTTTGGTACACCGTGGTCTGCAACGATGAGTCGTTGATCCGGGATCATGCCGGAGTCTACCCATCGTGTAGCTTGCTCTATCATCATCAGGAGATAATGAATGCCACTGGATTTCTGCTGAAACGAACCCATCACATCTATGAACCACAAGTCACCTAGTGTTGTAAGTGGAACCGACTGCAGAGGTGGTCGTAGACACCGATCCCCATTCATCAGCTGGCACTGTGGACATCCTAGCACATATCTTGACACATCTCTCATACCTGGCTAGTGTATGCTGCGTCTCAAGAGGTGGGTTATTCTGGCAACTCCTGTATGGTCTCATGGCGTGAAGATTGAGGTATAACCGCCAATCGGCTTCAACCGTTCTCTTGCCAAGTCAGAATTCCGTGAGCGTTGACTCTTAATCAATTCTTCTGTCTGCGTAGCATAGTCAGCGCCTTACTCGACGTACGTTGATTCACCTCTATTCCGTGAGTGATCGCCTGCATTACTGTATTCAGGGTAGGGTTTGATTTCTGACTTCGGGCAAGTCATAATGGGTTTTGTTCCAATGCATGCACTCGGTAAGCAATTTCCGGGAACGCAGCATCATCTTCCGTTCCAGATAAAAAGTCTGCCAAAAAAGTTTACAACATGGATTTCCCACTGTCCTCAGAAACTGTAGCGGCTTGTGATCAGTTTCGATGTGGAACGGTTGTCCAAGTAGATGAGTTCTCCATTTGTCTACCGTCCATACTATTGCTGAACATTCTTTTTCTATCGTTGAATACTTCTGCTCTGTGTGTGTTAAAACATGAGTGGTATATTTGGCAACTCTTTCACGCTGTCTTAGCACTGCGCCAATACCGGAGTCACTAGCATCTGTACAAACTGGGAACTGTTTTTGAGCACAGACAGTTGTAGCGTCATTTTCTGGTGGTCAAAAAGCTGTTTAGTGCTGTCGAATATCTTCTTCTAATCTTCTGACCAGATCAACTTTGACTCACCTCATGGCCTGTACAGAGTGCTGCCATATGATTGATGTTTTTCACAAATCCACCATAAAACGCTGCTCTCAACAGGAACTATTTTGACTTTCTCTTGTAATTCGGGGTCGTGCTAATCTTTATCGTTAAGATTTTTTCTAGTGACGCATTTAACCCACCACTGCCTAGTTTATGACTAAAATGTATACTACTTATCTCTAGTAAGTAGTGTAAGTTGCATTTTTTAATTTTTAACC